ATGTAATTATTGATTAATTAATGATTTTTCAATATTTTAGATTTATATGATCTCAAAATACACAACTTTTGCAAAAAATGTTCTATAATACAAAAACTACATGCAGCACAACAATTTTAATTACAGACTCTTAAACAGGAGTAAAAATAACTTGAGACTAATTTTAGTATTTTGCTCAAAAACAAGTTTGAATTTAACATTATGTCTATGGAAAAAATGGTAAAATTTTGATTGATTTAAGATTATTTCTAAAATAAGAGGTCAAGCATATTGACCATATCATGACAAAAACTCCCGCAGTTGATGATTATTTTGGTATATCATTTGAATTTCTAGACCAAATATATTTCGAGATATTCGAGTTTACTTTTGCGGAGTCGATTAATCTCCACCCTGTATATCCAATGTATTCACCATCAAGTTACAGGTTAACCTACATGCTTCCTCCATACTTCATAAAGTTTGTAAAAGTTTCATATAATTTTCATTAAAACATCTAAGTCTACACGTCTGATTTTACTGTTATACCTAGACATAATATATGTTGTGCCCTGCTTATCTATAAATAGTCATCACTATATATCGTTACTTTATTAACAAAATAAATGCCTTTCTGCAAATAATTTTGTTTTGTGTTTTTGTTTGACAATAAGTTTACTAAAAGTTTGACATTGAGAGAGAAGTGTCTCTCCCTCTCCTCTATATAGCGCAACGTTATATTTGACTATTCATTATTATCCGGTTATACGGGAATAAATGGTTTGCTCTTTTTCTGCTCACTTAGACGATAAGATCTAAGTTATCTTAAAAAATTACGTGTTTTTGTCACAGATTGGATATAAATTTACTGTACGAGTACAGCCCGTAAACCACGTTACCTACTCTTGGTATCTATCCACCTCTATAGTTTTCACTACCCTCCCACTTTATTATTATATGTAACGCTGTTTACTTTTTTCCCTTTGGATCGGCTTTATTATAATATTGATAATAACTATGAATTGTCACATTATGTACAGTACGGACTATATACTAAAACAATAGTTGTCCACAAAATTTTGCAATAAGTATAGAATTACCCTGTTTCTAAACTGAAAACTTAACATTTTAAATGAACTTTTATTTTTGTAATTAGTTTTTTGTTTTAACTTTGCGTTAATTATTATATCAAAATAAATATATGAAACATTACAAATGTTGCATTGGATATTGAAATGTCTTTATTTGATTCATAGTGCAATCACTATATGTTTAATTTCTATCAAAACTATACAACTACATAAACACTTCGACGCATGTTTACACTATAGCATTCACAGTGCATTTGCCCATTAATAAGCCACCATACACGTAACGTCGATCATATAACTATACGCGCTGAGGGTTAAACAACCAAACCATTAACTCAATTAACTAGTTGTGTTATTTAATTACAGCAAATGGTATCGTATATTGAATTACTGGTCGGACCGTAATATCTCGGGTCCGAAACCCATACCATATTTTGGCAATAATTTAAGTTTTATTCGTCGACCGAAAGCATTAATCCAAATGGAATGGTATAACACTTACGGCCGACTCTTTGGGTAAACAATAATTATATACTAATTATTTGAAATAAAATTATCGCAAAAAATAAATGTATGCAAAAATATAAAGCTTTATATAATCGCCTAAATGTGCAGCAAATATGACTGCGGAGAACCGGTGCTATCGGTGTCGGACCCGGCGCTCATCAAACAGATTTTGGTGAAAGAGTTTCACGTATTTCACAACAGATTTAATCGTGTAATTAAAGTAATCGATGCCAAGGGTTTGGTGAACGCCAGGGATGGCGACTGGAAACGGATCCGACTCATAGCCAGTCCCGCATTCACGTCAAGTAAACTCAAACGCATGTATCCACTCATCGACGAGTGTTGCGGCGACTTCTTGGCCGCACTCGACCGGCACGTGTCCGCCAGCGGCCGCACGAAAGTGGACTTTAAGCGAGTGACGGGCGCCTATGGCTTGGATGTGATCGCACGGACAGCGTTCGCCACCAAATGCAACCCCTATTCATGCGATACAAGCGATCCGTTTGTCATGAAAGCTGAGCTCATTTCCGGCTACGAAACGCCCCATATATGGCGCGACATTTTGCCAATGATTTTACCCACTTTTGTAATCAACAATCGGTTGTGGAAATGGTTGGCCACAATCGGCAGCGGCGGCGGTGGCGGCGCAATGGACCCCAAGTTCTTCAATAATGTCATCAAACATCTGATATCTGAGCGCAAAGAGTCGGTCGACAAACACAACGATTTCCTACAGTTGTTGATAGACGTGGAGAGAGAGGACAACACCAACACTACGACGACTACGGGTGCGGACTCTGTGGCCACCGATGCGTCCGAAGGACATCACGTCAATGAAGGCGTCGACGAACTGATGGCAGAGAAACGGGCGTTGAGTGGAGTCGTGGAGAAGCGGTTAACCACCGATGAAATTGTCGCCCAATGCGACATATTTTTTATGGCCGGCTATGAAACCACGGCATCCACTCTGTCGTACTGTACGTACGAATTGGCACTCAATCCCGATATTCAGGACCGGTTGGTGGCGGAGACCAGAGCGGCGTTTAATGAAACCACGGGAGACATAGACTACGACACCCTTTGCCGACTCCCACTCCTCGACGCCGTTATATCGGAAACGCTTCGCAAATATCCGCCGGTAATTGAAATTAGTAGAGAGGCCTCGAAGGACGTGGTGTTGAGCGCCGGTAGCGGTGGACCGACGGTAATGATCGAGAAAGGAATGATGGCTCACATCCCGGTGTATGCCATACATCACTCGCCCGACAACTATCCCGATCCCGAGGCCTTCAAACCCGACCGCTTTTTGCCCCATAATCGTAGTCAAATCAAACCCTATACGTACTTACCCTTTGGCTCCGGACCCCGTAATTGCGTTGCTATGCGTTTCGCACTGCTCGAGAGTAAACTAGCCTTGGTGAAAATGATACAACAATTCCGGTTCTATAGGGTGCCCAACACCGAAGTGCCCATTCGTTTCCGGAAACGTCGCCTACTATTACAGGCAGAGAGTGTTGTTGTGGGCGTCGTTCAGCGTTAGGCACAAAATACTTTCACTTAGTTTCAGATTTTTATTTTATTCGTCTTTTGTTTGGAAAATGGATAATAAAAATATTTTTAATTTTATTAATTAAGTAATTATGAGTTCTCTCATACAAATCGCTATATTTTGGAATACATGTTATTTTAATCATTTACACAATATTATGTATCCGTATTATTAATAATAATTTATTATTGAAACTTTTGATAATTGAAATGCAAAACTTGGGATTATAGTATTGATAATATTTGCTATATATTCAGCTAGTAAGTTGTTTGGTATTGATTTTAGAATATTGAACATAAGAAATTAGTTAACTCTAACTTTTGTATGCATTGTGGCCAACAAATGGATCTGCAAATCAAAACGAAATGGATTTGCAAATCATTAAATCTTTGCTTATATGAGGCATTTCTAAAATTTTTAGTTTGTTGAATTAGGGTTTTATTTTTAATAAAGTATCAAATTTGAAAAAGAACAAAAACTGTCACGATACACGGGAAAGGTTAAATAATGTTTGATTTACATTGTAATAAGTTTATAAAGACAATGGCCATTTTGGAGATAGCGTGCACCCGAGAATTAGTGTTATAAAATAAAAATAGTTTAACTATGGAGTCATTGTTACATACATCATTGTAAGCATAATTGAAATTGATATAAATGATGATCAGTAATTACGTTATTCACTATAAAAAACGTACATAAGTGATACTAAAGTTTTTAATTTTGATATAACTTTTATCAATTATGTCAGATTTAAGAAATTCCTTCGGATTTTGATTCTACTCTACCACACCTTTCTATTGACATATAATATGACATGGTTATTTATAAAATAAAAGATTTGATTTTCAAAATTCTACTGATATAAGTGGTCACTGCGGCCAGACCAGAGGGAGTCTGGACATATGAAGTATATCACTCGACTACCTATTGAGTTTATTTTCATTTTATAACAATAATTCCCAATTGCCCGCTATCACACCAATAAGTTTGCATCAGAGATTAATTTTAATTAATATACTCATATAATTTGCGTGTTTATATTTACTTATGAATAAATTATTTATTTGTAATACTAGGGATAGCACTTTTATTCCCGTCAACCGTACCCGTACCGGTCGGGTGCGGGTCACCCGCCGACGGGTCACTCGTCAACCGTCGACGGGCTACCCGTCAACCGCACCCGTACGGGTCGACCTGTCTACGGGTGACGGGAATAAAAGTGCTGTTTCGTTGGAATGTCTTTGAGCACCAAAATGCTGTGGTGGTCGTCAGTCATCGTTAAGGCGAACACTCATAGTTTTTATATATATTACAGTATTAATCATTTATATATTTTAACCACAAATGCTACACTCATAAGCTAACAAACCTATGAAAAATTTCACAATTACACTATAATACATACTTTTTACCCTTCTTTCTCTCTTTTTCTGTTCGCCGTAATCATCGTTAGCCGCAAAATATATTACATTACTAATAGATTTTAATTTAGTTACTTTTAATTAAAGTCAATTCGTATAATATATTTGTGGTAAACAGTAATAATTAAAAATAAAATCAAATACGAGCAATTAATAAAAAATAATATTTGTAAGTAAATAGCAATTATTTTAAAAAATATTAAGTAAATATTTAAAAATCAAAATAATTTTAATCGTGAAACGTATAAAAGTACAGTAGACATTCGGTTTTGACATTTTTTTGGTGCTATTAAAAATATGTGTCAAAATCGAATATATTTAAATGTGCATTAAATTAATTGTTTTAATAAAAAGAGCGTTTATTTTACATTGATCACTAAATTGGCGCATAATTTCATTGTAATTCACTTTTTTCAATTGATTTAATAATTTTGTGTTTAGTTTTAAGCATGAAAGACTTTTCACCTTTTTTGGTCAACACTTTTTCATAAAAAATGTGTTAAAACATAACATGTGTTAAAATCGATCCATAGCGTTATGCTATACTGCCAGTGAAAATTCACTGTTAAAATCAAAATCTGTTAAAAACGAATGTGTCAAAATCGAGCTATTTAATATTACAGTGTGCATCAAGCTCGCCGGTGCTAACATAATGTTATGTTAAACCCGAATTCTGTTAAAATCGCGCCTGTCAAAACCGAATGTCTACTGTATAATAATCATGAAGGGGTTGTAAACTGGTCTCGTAATTTTTGTAACAACCATAGGTTTACACTAGTGTAAGATTAAATTAATCAGAATACATTTTATTAAAATTAAAACATTATAAAATAAGTAAACCAAAGTTTACTGAAAAATGTTACCTTAACTTCAGGACTTTCAAATATATTAGTTTGTCAATAAAGTAGCTTTCACAAATGCTATTTCTAATATACGAGTGCATTATAGCATCATTCAATCCGTACTTTATTGATACAAAATGACGGGAGAGGGAGAGAGGGTTGCAGAGTATTGTATGTGAGAGCGACTATAAGAGCGAGAGAGGTGTGAGAGAGTAATGTTTAGAGATACGGTAAGGGAAAATTAAGTCAGATTCATGTTGACTGTTGCTAACGTGTTATTAAGAATTTTACTTTAGTGTATGAAATTTGGAAGTAATATATTTTGAAGTTCTGAAGTAAATTGATTTTCTTTCAACGCTTCTCAACTCCCACTCGAAGACTACAGGAATGTACAGTAAGTCGACCCGCAGTGAACACAACGGGCACATCAGTGGTGGGCAAACGATAGAATCGGAATTGTCGGATCAATTTGACCATGGCCAGTTTGGCCATAAGAAGTGCAAAACGCATACCAATGCAATGACGGGGTCCGGCGCCGAATGGTAAGTATGTATAGGGTTTGATGTTATGGCGATTCTGTGGCAAAAAGCGGTCGGGTTTGAAAATAAATGCGTCGGAATAGTTATCGGGCGAGTGATGTATGGCATACACCGGGATCTCTACATTCGTTCCCTTTTCAACCTTAAACGTTAATCCGTCGGTACCTGTGGTGAGCATCACATCCTCCGCGGCCTTACGCAAGGGATTAATACCCGGCGGGTATTTGCGAAGAGTTTCCGATATAACGGCGTCGAGGAGTGGGAGTCGGATAACGGTCTCGTAGTCTATGTCTCCCGTGTTTTCACTGAACGCCTCTCTGGTCTCCGCCACCAACCGGTCCTGAATATCGGGATTGAGTGCCAATTCATACGTACAGTACGCCAGAGCTGTGGCCGTTGTCTCGTAGCCGGCGATAAAAAATACAATTGTCTGAGCGATCGCTTCGTCTGTAGTTAACTTTTTCTTCTTCAAGACTGCACTTAACGCCCGCTTCTCTATCATTAGTTCATCGGTGGCCACAGAGTCCGCACCCGTAGTCGTAGTCGTGTTGTTGTCCTCTATCTTCATATCTGTAAAATACTGTAAGAAATCGTTTGGTTTTTTGGCCGCATTTTTGCGCTCAGATATCAAACGCTTAGAGAGATGCTTGAAAAACATAATATTTGATGAGCCAATGGCTGCCAACCGTTTAGTCAGAAAAGTGGGCAAAATGTTAGTCAATAAAGCAGATGAAGAAGTGGTGAAATGTTTTAAAATCCAATTCGCTTTAGTAGTGAACGGATTGTTTGGATCGCAATAGGAGTCGGTGTCAACAGAGAAGACACATTTGCCGATCACATCCACGGTATAGGCGGCCATCACTTGCTTTAACTCCACTTCCGTCCGACCGGTGGACACGTCTCTGTCGAGTGCGGCCAAGAAGTTGTCGCAACACTCGTTGATCACTGGACACATGTGTTTGAGTTTACCGGTGCTAAATAAGGGACTGGCTATGGCTCGCATCCGTTTCCAGTCGTCATCAATGGCGAGGAAAATGTTTGCAAAGACGACGTCATCCACTTTAGCTACGCCTCGGTTACGGAATTTGTGAAAGTCTTTTACCAGAATCTGTTTGAGGAGCACCGGGTCCGCCACCGATAGCTCCGGTTTTCCACAATTATATTTACTATAGGATTACGATTTATATTAAGATATATTTATATATAATTAAATACAATGAATCATCATATATACAGAAATCAAGTTTACGGTTTGCTTTACCCGGACCCTTTATAAGATATCTAGACCCCTCCCCCTTATGGTAATCCCTTATGGGTTATGTTAATCCTAATTAGAATTGTTTTAAAAACAATTTTCAATTAGTTTGTATAAGATTACAGCTTATGTATAAGACGTTGATTTATTATTGACAATGTTAAGTCTGTGGCTATGTCTATGAGAAAGATTTCTCAAAGAATATAAAATTCAGTTTTCTTAATAATCAGAATGGTAATTGAAATATTATTGGCCATCTTTATCGGCAACTGTTGGCCATTTTTTTAACAAACTTTTAATGACTTTGTATTAAAAATGGTTGCCATGAGACTCATAGATGTGAACTAGGTCTGCTTTAACCACTACTTTTGTTTTATAAATTCTAGCTCTAAAATGCGCCTAAAGGCTATATATACAGGCATCTGAATAACAGGAGTATAGGTGGGTAACAGAGAACTTCTCGTTCAAAGTATTCTAAAATTTTTGGGATGATATTTGAAAAATGGCTATATTTTGGGTATAGGTTTAATAATTGGTTCGGGCGGTGTTCCCTGTCACTTGTAAATTGTTACAACTAGTTTCCCTTTGGATGCCTAAGACCACCAACAATTCCATTTGTTTAAATCTCGGATTGTATCTACCCCGTTCATATGCCGCATAATTGACCACTTCTCGGGGTCGGGCGGTTCGAGTGCGGACTATTAGATCATAGCCACCAAATTTGAACCTTGTGAGTAATTCATACCAATAATCAGTGCATGACCCAAGACTGATAAACTACAATATTTATCTGTTTGTAATTTTTTCATTTGACTTAACTGCAAGGAATATAAGTAATTTTGATATAAATGGTTAGGTCTCTCCCTCTATAATACATTACGTAAAACAATACATAATCTCTCTAAAACTGAGGCAATAGTGTGGCACATGTTATAGGCCTCAAATTTAAGCAAACATTTTATATAAGCTGAATTTATATATACTTTATATTTGTGGTGTACTTGTAGTTAACGAAAATGTAAATAAAAACTATAAATTGTTATAAATGTTAATAAATTTTTAAATTTAAAAATACCCTAAAATTGGATTAACAAATTTTTGGTTAACCTATAACATCGCGTGTGATTGTTGTTTATTGATTATATAATTTTAATACTGTATACATTAAGTTTAATTCATATGCATTACCCATAGATTGGACCGTAAGTCTTATACCACTCCAACTCAACCAATGGCTTAGGTCTTAGAATAGGGCTTAAAGTATTGCCAAACAATGGTATGGGTTTTGGACCCGAGATATTACGGACCGACCAGTAATTCAATATACGATACCATTTGCTATAATTAAATACAATTAGTTATTAATATATTATTATCAATAACATAAAATCTTTACATAAAATGCAACATTGTACTTTATATATTAATTAGTAATTTTAAAATGTGGGATATCTCATTTTATTGTTGGGCAACTATTGCATTGCATAACTATAATTTTAACATCAAAGCACACAAACAATGTTAAAATAGGGTAAAAATTTATATAATAATATTGAAAATTGCAACAAATAATCAACATAAAAACTCAATTAATATATTTTTAAACCTTTTGATCTAAAGCATGTCTTTGCCTGAAAAGTATTTACAACTTTAAACAATCTTAAACATTAAATTTAGATAAAATGGAATCTAATGGAGTCTAATGATTGGACAATGGGCTCAATAAACTTGTAGTTTATTGAGAATGTGACATTTTATAAATAACGTATATGTAAATAAATATATTAGTAAATACATAATTAATTTTAGTAATAATTATATAAAATATTTGATTATTTATTAATACAACAATTTTTTATCTTAATTTATTATTATAGACAATAATCGGATGCTTTTAAAATTCTTTTGCACAGAACAAAAACAAATTATTTTATTAATAATATTAAAGTTGTGATTAATTAAGCATTGAATCTTTTAATGAATCAAACATTACTTGTATCTAAAGTTATGTTTTGCTGTGCAAAAGCATACAAAATACATCCTATAAATGTCTATATTTATTACTATAGACGACAATCGGATGCGTTTTGGATGCATTAGTCACAGAAAAAAGTAATTTATGTGTGAAATGAAAATAATTTGAATTAAATTAAAGCAATGAATCATTCAATTAATCAAACATTACTTGTATCTAAAGTTATGTTTTTCTGTGACTAATGCATCGAAAACGCATCCGATTGTAGTCTATATTTATTACAATAAATAGTAAAGTAATATCAAGAAACTTACAAATAATTGTACGTGATCAAAACACATATAATAGCCGCTAACATATACCACAAGTATTGTGTGTTAAATGTTGCAAATAATTGGTAAAACATTTTTATTAAAATAATCATTTATTAAATAAAATAATAAAATTTAAGGTGTCTGTTAAACATGAGCTTAAATACTATTATAAAGTTACTAAAAATAAAATTTTACCTTGTCATTTTAACATTAAGGATGTACTCTCATTATATGTACTAAACTATAAAAGTAAAACATGAATTGCATAAAATATATTTTCATTCCAGTATATAAATTATTTACCTGATTACTCTTATAAAAATAATTATTATTTTATAATAGATATGCCACAAATAAATTAGTTTTACTATAATTTTATTGTAAGAATTTTTAGATATTAAAATATGTTGGTATTGATATATTTTAAAATAGCAGCTTAAGTTTATTTTAAATTTTTAAACATCATACAAATAATTGTAATTAAAATCTCAATTGTAGTTAAATATTTAATGCTAAATAATATAATGAGCTAGTCACTATTTCAATATTACACAAGCATTTTGTAGAAAATAGAATACACTATTACTAATAGTTAGAGCAGAGATTATTCGGGACTAAAATCCACCAAATTCGGTCGGGAATCGGGAATATTTTACAATTTTCTTGAAAAGAGTGTCAAAATCGGGAATATTTTCAAAATAAGCTAAAATCGGAAATATTCTCAAACTCTATTAGTAATTAATCATTAGAACTATCACTACCACTGGTAAAACATTATAATATAACATATTATGATTTAACGCAATTGTTTATAATTAAGCTTAATATTTTAATCATTAAAGATATTTTTAACTAATAAACCATCACCTTAATATTTTTGTACAAATCCCTGCCCTATGATTAATGTTTATATTAAACATCAAATTGCAATACTTTTAAATTTATCATTTATGTTAATTACTGTATTAAATCCGTATTGAAATTATTGCAATAAACAGAATATTCCTAATATTATAAAATATAAGCTGTTTTCATAATAATCACTGAAAATATATTTATTTGTAAATCATAGTTCAGTACATATAATGAGAGTACATCCGTGATGCTTATAGTGACAAAGTTAAATTTTATTATTTAGAAACCTTCATATCAATACTAGTTATAGCAATTTTACTACCGTACTAATATAGTAATATTTTTTAATCAAATATTTCATATGAATAAATAATTTAAATTTAAATTCAAATGTAATTTTAAATAACAGGCATATACTAGTTTGGGCTATGTCATTTATTTATATCACTTATTTCTATTACATTTTCTTCGAGAAAAATTTTAACGATTTTTAAATATTAGTTTTTTATCAACAAGGAAAATAAAAATATGAAAATAAAAATATATTTTTGATTTCTCCCTCCCTTTCTCCCTCCCTCTCTCTCTCTCTCTCTCTCTCTCTCTCACTCAATCACTCACTCACTCACTCTCTTTCTCTCTCTCTCTCTCACTTTCTCACTCACTCACTCTCTCTCTCTCTCACTCACTCACTCATACGAGTTATACTTATAACAGCATATAACTTATACTCCATTTGAATCAATTGGTATTTCGTTGATTAAAACCGAGCTATCGGTACAATTGGTCCGGAAATTATTCCAAAATTATAGACAAAACTTTGATTTAATTTGAATACCAATTCATTCATATTGTAATTATAAAATAAATTATTACATTAACACAAGTAATGTATGGGTTTTGCATTTTTTGTTTTAATAATGCTAATCTTTAACGTTAGCCAAAGGGGTAAAAATAATGGGGTGAAAGCAAAATTAAGAATGCAAAAATATATTCAATATTTCTAAACTAATAATTTATTGAAAATCAAATATTTAATAAAAATAAGTTATATCTATTTAAATAATCAACAAAAACAATTATTGTAATTATTTATTATGAATAATATTATCGATGATTGCTTTGATGTTATTTGATTTGATTTACATGGTGCGTTTAATAAGTGTATTTTAAAAATTTAATTTTTAAAGCAGTATTAAATACCATTTTTAAAAATTTTTCATTGTTATTTTAGTTTATTGAAATAATAAACTTATCAATAATAAGATATTTAGTCTCAGACGATATCTTCAAAACCGAATCAATTGATAATAAAGTAATGATTTTCAACACAAGAATAAATCAAATTATGGATAAATTTGTTCCTATTGTTCGCCGAAGAATCAAAATCTCACACCAAATACCATATTTAGACCGAAATGTAAGGCAATTAATGCGTGACAAAAGAGATCTGAAAATACGTTTTAATAGACTTAAAGCTAATAATATCATTGATTATGAGTTATATAATAATTACAAACGTGTTAGAAATCAAATCACAATAACTCTAAATAAACTAAGAAAAGACTGGTATAAGAATCGAGTTAATGAGTGCAGAAACAATTCATCAAAACTCTGGAAAATTATATCCGAAGTTACGGTAACGAAAAAATCTGTACAAAAATCTCAACCAAAATGTGACTTAAATCTGAATGAACTCAACAACTGCTTCGTTGAAACTCCAGTAAAATTAAGTGAATGTTTCGATAGAAATATAGTTTTTGAAGACTTGACACCAAATACCGAAAACTGTTTTTCTTTGCCAGAAGTGAATAGCAATGAAATTCAAAATATTATTGAAAAACTTCCTAATAATAAATCAATGGGTTTTGATATGATATCCCCTAAAACATTAAAGTTATCATCATTGTTATCGACTATAATTGCTGTGTTAATTAATGTCAGTTTTTCACAACAAACAGTACCAATAATGTGGAAAATTTCTGCAGTGAAAGCCCTGTTTAAAGGAGGACTTAAAAGTGATTTACTAAACTACAGACCCATATCTGTCTTGCCTTTGGTATCCAAAATAATGGAAAGGGTTTTGTTTAATAATTTAATGAATTTTGTGAATAATAATAAACTATTAAGTGATTCCCAATTCGGGTTTCGATCACAACACTCGACATCTGACGCTCTCATAAGTATTTTAAATGATATATACTGTGGTCTCAACAGCAAGAAAAAAGTGTGTATTGTCTCACTTGACATCAGCAAAGCATTTGATACTATAAATCACGATATATTGATTTACAAATTATTCAAATCTGGTTTTGATTCAAATGCTATCCAATGGTTTCGCTCTTATTTAAGCAATAGATCACAGTTTGTGAGAGAAGGAAAAGTGGCCTCAAATACACAAAAAATTAGTCTAGGCATTTTTCAAGGGTCGCTACTAGGCCCGCTTTTATTCTCCCTGTATATCAACGATATAACAAATCTACCATTGAATGCAAATATGTTTTTGTACGCCGACGATAGTAATCTGGTTTTCATCGCTGATAACTATAATGAATTGCAATCTTTGGTCAACACATCGCTTGATTTAATACAAAATTGGATGAATAAAAATCATTTAACATTAAATGTAAAGAAGTCTAAAGTGATGCCAATTTCATTATCCGGCCGTAGAAACAGTGATTTTAACGTCAAAATAGGTAACACTGCTCTGGAAATGGTCGACGAAATCAAGATATTAGGTGTTATTGTCGACAAATCGCTATCATTTAAATCACACATAAATATGGTCTGCGATAAAGTGAATAAACGGATCAATTACTTGTCACGACTTCGGTATATATTACCAAAAGAGACTTTAAATACAATTTATAAGTCATTGATACTCCCGACTCTCGACTACTGTCTGTGTGTTTATGGCTTCGCCTATAAAACAAACTTTGAACGACTCGAGCGCTTACAACGACGGGCCGCACATGTCATTACTTTTTCGGACAGAAGGGCTGAAGACCTGTTCAAAGAGCTTAAATGGATTCCAATTAGTAGTCGTAGAGATTATTTCGCATCGATTTTCATATATAAATGTCTGAATCGGTTAAACGCTAACAAATGTCACGATATATACAGTTATGGGCCGACGACGCGAAGGACAAGATCTGTGGCCAATCGGGAACTACTGCTCCCTAATAGTCAACTGCAAAGCCATCGAAATACTATTCTTTATAACGGAATTGTGGTTTTTAATGCCTTAGATCTTAACATTAGGAATAATAATAACTNTAGTCAACTGCAAAGCCATCGAAATACTATTCTTTATAACGGAATTGTGGTTTTTAATGCCTTA